CACTTAACCATAAATCATAACTTATAAACCTCAATGGCTGGGTTCACATAACAATCCATGCCAAAACTAATAAACCACATAGTTTATAAAAGTGTGATATTTGAACCAGTTAAGGCAGAGAAGACCTGAGTTTAAATAGCATAAATGGTAGGAAATATGATAAACTAAAAGCAGTCTCTGCCATCACTAACCTCATATTCACTGCTTACCCATCTACTTTCATATTTCTCAATTATAAAGCAGGATAATTGTTTGAGACCTAGGTCTTTAATTTTGCTTACAGTTTAGAAAGAGATTAGAATTTCTGATTTATTTATTATTTATATGAAAGATTTATGTGGCCACCCATCTTTAGCAGCTTTTGACTCATCTTGGATTGATGGCAACTAATTTGTGAACTCCGTATCTCCCAGTCTATAATGCTTGATAGCTTGCAGTGGATAATTTCTCTATAGTTACCATTTTTGGTCTGGTTAAAAACCAAGCAAACACCAATGCAGACCTCCCAACCGGTTTGCCCATCTTTGGAACAGATAATATTGATTTGACGGAGCATAAAGCCATTTTCTTAGCACAAAGACAAAGCTACGCAGAAAACCTTGTTGTTGGCTCTTTTGCAAAAGTGTCTTGCCAGAAAAAAAGTGACTGCTCTAAAAATGTTCCTGATTTGTAATCTCTGTTCCAGGAATATCTCCTGCTGAACAAAGAGTCACTGCTTTTGCTGAGTTTACCCAGACGGGTTGCACTTCTATCTTCCAGTACAAATAAGGAGGAAAAACCCTTTGGTTACATCTTCCTCACTTTCTCCCTCCTTGTGTGGAATCAGCCATTACAATTTATCTATCTGACAACAATTTTCTCCTTCCTTGCAAATACCAGGCTGGGGAAAAGTAGACTTTTCCTCCTTCAAGAAAACAGGTGATAACTGTAATACTGGGTCTACTTGTATCCATTTTTTTTTCTCAATTGAGGGAGAAGAGAAGAAAGAATGGACACTGATAGACCCTTTGGCTTCTTCTGAAGTTAGAAGTTCCTGAAAGCCAAAGGGAGGCAAAGATTCTGCCCTTTTGAGTAAAATGGAAAGGATGGCATGGTAGTATTACCTGGCCATATTCTTGTAGAAGTTTGGCTGTTATCAGTTCAGCATCCTAGAACACAGAGAAGGGGGAAGGGGAAGAGACAGACAGGGGGCAAGAAGGTAGCAAGTAAGAGGAAGAAGAATCAGTTATGGGGAAGGGTGGGGGAGAAAGAAGCAGAGAGTGCAGGTTTTCTCTCATTGGTTGGCATCCTTAAAAAAACAGCATGGGTTGCAAGCAGCAAATAAATTCATTAGAAAGCAGTTGTACTGTAGAGCTGCAGCATATGGATACAAGAATGTGTGTGTTCCAGTTTATTTTTTTTAACAACTTTCTCAACCGAGGAGGCCAAATGCTTATCATTGGCAAAAGAGGAAAACCTGCTTGTTTTAATTCTTTGTGATGCTTGTATGACTAGAGACCAGCTGCACGTAAAAATACAATGCATTCTATTTTGAGAAAGCTGTTGTCTTTGTAGCACCTTGCCTGGTTTAAAGTTTTGGTGAATTCAAATGCTTGCATAGTTTTTGATGCCCTTCTTGTATGGATTTTGGACTTTATTTTTCTCTCTCCTGAACCAACACAGCTGTCTTTGTTTTTTTCTGGGCAAGCTGTGTGTCTGCACTAACTGTTCTCCTAGCTCCATGTCCCATGACATATTGGGAACATCTGCTATTATTAATTATGGTGATGCCCTGGATTCAAGAACCACTGCTGGGAATGAATGGTACTAATTCTTATGCACTATTTCTCCTAATGGCTAAATTGCCTTATTTAGAATTAGTAGGATACTCTGTATACAGTATGTGGTGTTTCCCTTCAGTGATGGGGTTACTCCTGTACCTTTAAAGTTGTATAGGTGTCACAGAACTAAAAAAAAAAGGCTTGAAACTGAACTAAGAAATGAAAAGTTAGTAATTCCAAACAGGTTTCCTTTGAAACAGCATGTATAAGCAATTATTATATGTGGCTATTGATTACAAAGATATTGCAGTAATTTTAAACCTCATCAAATACTATATAGCATCATGTTTATGATTTATAGTGTATGACAAACCTTTTATTTTTGATACTATTGAAGTGCACCTGATGTTACATATAAAACATCTAGTGCCTTCACATTGAGATGCCTAAATAGAATTAATCTTTTTTCTTCTTCTTAAAAATACCTCTTCCATGTAATTATTTTTGGACAATACCATACTTTGTGAAAATTATTCAGCATCTTTGCCATCCAATCACTGGGTTGTTAGGAAAGTGAGTTCAGGTACCAGATTATAATTTCCTGATTTGCTTGCTGGACTATGATATCAGAGATGGAGTCTTTAGAAAGCTTAACCTTTCTAAAGAGGATGTCTTTCCTACTGACATTTTGTAATAACAAAAATAGCACTCATGGAAAAGGAGAAAAGATATAGCAAGGAAAACCTGCCTAACAACATCCAAATATCAGGTTCATGTGACTCTCTTTCTAATCTATCTTTTGTCCAATTAAACAGTCAACATATGCTGAAGCCTATAGACAGATAATAACTATTTTAGTAAGGCTGGCTGTATCTGTATTTACCTTGAATTCTGTATGGCTGATTATTGGCTTAGTTTTCATATATTACTTATTCCCATTAAACCTCTTTTCATTTAAAAAGGGAATTTCTTGCTAAAACCTCCCCTACGTATGACACTGCATGTTTATATCTTATGTTTCAGAATTGGCCTTTAAAAAACATTTTTAAAAGTTCTGCAGTGCTGACTTTGGTCAGGAAGATCAAAGGGTTCCTTTTCTGTTTTTGCAGACCCAGACAAATGACTTAGAACTTCCCAATGAGACAAATTTGTCAGGAGAGTCAGCCTGATTGCTGGCAACTAACTATTATTAAATATTTTAATAGGGAATCTTTCGAAGGTCTGCCAAAGAAGTTTAAATTACCACTCCTAGTTTATGCAACTCCCAAAGATTTCAAAAGGCTGATCATGTTTCACTTACTGATCTTCCCCAACAGCATTACAACAATGTGCAAAATTTCCACTGTTGGAAACAGAGAAGGGCAAGCATTGCCCTCCCATTTATTTATTGTGCTTATGTTTTTTCATGCCAAGAACTCAAAGAATGGTGTATAACACACCGGGTTCTGGATTTTCACCTTCTTCAACATTTGCTATTTTCAGCCATGCTTTATTATATGCTTCAAAATCTTTGTCCCGATATATTCATCTTGCAATCAATCACCATATATAGATGTATCTCTTACCTAAAATCAATTTAAAGCACCTAGTAAGGTTGGAGGCTTATGCCACTATTTAAGGATCAAGTCTATTCAGTGTCCTTTACAAATAATTATACTAGAAACTGATAATGGATGAAGGATGTAGGTTTATTCAGATGTGAAAGCAAATAGAGTCCCTGCATTTTTCTTAGTTGAGTCGAAACTTTAAGTAAATTTGGTATGCCCAAAATTTGCTGAAATATCCTATCTTATGAAACATGCAGGATCTTTTTCTCCTTTCATGGTTCCCCTCAATAAGAGGTTTAATTCTTAGCCAGCCATTATTGTGTATATAGTATTTGCTGTTCCCCACTGGAAGAACACAAGGCAATTAGAATATGTCCTTTTGTCCTTATTGTCATTGGCTGAATGCTTTAATACCAAAAAGGAAGTTCCAGGGAAAATTAAAAGTAGGCCTTGAGGAAGCAGGACCCTGACAGATTGATTACACTAATTCCTGGCAGTGCCCTTAACAACTGCTTAGAAAAACAACTGCCACTTTTCCCCCCCATTGGCTTTGTACTAGAGTCTTCAATAGTCATGATGTGCAAGTCACTCTATATGCAAGTGTTTCTCAGCTTCAGTAACTTGAAGATGTGTGGACTTCAAGCCCCCAGCATGCTGGCTGGGGAATTCTGGGAAATGAAATCCATACATCATCAAGCTGCCAAAGTTGAGAAACACTGATCTGGGCTGCAGAAAGCTTTATCTGCTGAATTCTATACATCAAAAATAGCTGTTAAAGAAACATAAATAGGTCAAGCTGATTCTCCTCTCTCCTAATCAGCTAACAACAGTATTTCCAAGTAGCTTTTAATCTTTTAATGTTGCATCAAAATAATCTAGGAATATTAGTGTATCATGCTTGATAGGATTCCAGTGATTGTATAAAACCTATGTGGATGTGGAAAATTTGTCTCTCTCCAGATGCATGCTAAATCACATTGCCTTTCATTTTTCACCAACTGGCCTGCTTAGTAGGGACTACAGGTTGTTGAAGTACAGCAACTACAAGACGAACTCAGGTTCTCTTGTCTCAGCTAAGAATTATATTTAGATGTACAATTATAATTTATTACCTACTGCTGCTGGGGAATTAGATACAGGTTTGATCATTTTCCAATAAGAGCATGACAGCTGTTACATCTTCACCTCTAAGACTTGCAAAGTAAGGATGACCAACAAGTAGCCAAATAGCCACAGACAGTATGACCAGTGATAAGGAATGATGAGAACGGCAAGCCAACAATATCAAAGAAAAGCATGCATTGTTTACCTTTCCTTTAAAGAGACAGGCATTCGACCATGCATGGATCTGAGTCTAGAAAATTTACAACTTGACATAGGAAATTTTTTAGCTAGTAATAAAAAGGGTGGCATACACAGAACATCAATCTCTGGTGTCTCTATTTTAAATGGTTGCAGCTCAAAGTGATGGACAAAAACCTGGAAAACTATTGCCAGAATGACAAACCTATGTGGTAGGTTTTGAAAGAAGGCAGTTATGAATGCAACTGCTCTGCAAAGAAATAGGACTGGTAAGGATGGAAAGAAGCAGAATTGGATACAATTTAGAAATATGCTGATGAGAAGGGGAAAAAATCAGCAGAAGAAGAATGGAAAGAGACAGTCCCCACCCCCCCCCCCCCCTCGTACTGACCCTGCCTGGCTCAGGTGCTCCCGGGGCTCGCAGTAGTGGCTTTTCTTCAGTGATTTGCACTTCCTGGAGTTCTGTCATGGCACCTGGGACAAAAGACAATCAGGGGATATGTTAATCGGGGAAATTATATACTAATGAACCATTGACTGGGTGATATCACTTTCATTCTCCCTCACTTGATGACAAATGATGGCTGTACATATGGTTTAGAACTAACCTAAATAGGTAAGATGCAGCTATCCAAATATAACCCCTTCCAATGTGGCCACATAGTCTTTCATTCAGCTGCCAAACAGCAAGTGAATGCTAAATCAGTCAGGTATATCCACAGTCCAGAATACTAGTTGCTCTGCCCTGCAATGCTACCTAGCCAGGTAACGAAATATCCTCAGGAAGAAAAAACATCACCAAGAAACTAAATAATCAAGAACTCAATATGCATGTATGAACACCAATTGCTTTGAACTTAAGCTAACAAAGATGTGGATGCTGCCATTCATCAAATGTATTTTTTCTACTACAAGCAACATTTAGTTGCTTATAGACATCTTCTGAACTATGGTACATCTATGAACATGTTGTAAAGTGCTAACAGGGCATGTTAAAAACCAGCACTGAAACCATTAATTTCACAGTAAATGTGAGACATTGGACACCTAAAAGAATCCAAGTAATTTTGAAAACTGCCAAATCTTTCATCTAATTTTTAAAGTTTAATTCTAGCCCTTTCCTGTATACATCTATACTGTTTTATGATCAGCCTTCCCCAGCTTCCTACATTCCAGCTAGGCTGGGACTACAACTCCCCAAATCCCAAGCCATCACAGCTCTTGGGAGTTTTGAAGCTGTGGTCTGACAACATCTGAAGTGTGTCAGATTGAGAAAAGCTGTTTATGGCTGCTCTCCAAAACAAACTTGAATTCATTCTCAGTCTATCACCTCCAAAATAAAATCTTTTTTTTTATAACAGCCTTTTAAGGGCTAAAAAATCTTTTAGACTGTTTTGTAGACAGATTGATATGCTTGGTGTTCTGTGACCTTGTGATGTGTTTGAGATACTTTCCCTTGATTTGAGTGGGGTTTTAACTCTGTGGAATTGAGATGGTTTTCTGTTCCCCATTTGTGCAGAAAATTACCTTGCTTTTCTACAGATAGGGGAACTGAAGCTGAGAGAGGATAACACAACAAAGGTGAAGAAGTCAACCCTAATCTCCTAGATCTAGACCCTCTCATTATGTAATCAGGCATGATTTCATATAAACAGCCACACCTTGGCAAGTGACCAGCACCCGCTGAATAAGATAGGAATATAAACACTTGCTTTCTACTGAGTTGAACTGCTGATCCTCTGCAGTCCATCTACTGATATTGACAATTGCATATCCATTTTCCCCTCATCTGCAGATGGAAAATATCTTTGAAGGCCTTGCTGGAAATACCACAAATTTAATCAGCAGACTTCCACAGATGAAAGAGCCAGTTGGGTCTAGTGGTTAAGGCTCCGGGTCAAGAACTTTGAACTGTAGTTCTGCCTTAGGCATTAAAGCCAGCTGGATAACATTGGGCCATTCACTCTCTCAGAGCTAAACTCTAACTCACAGGATTGTTGTTAAGGGGAAAATAGGAGGAAGGAGTATATGTATGCCTGATGCCTTGAGTTATTTATTAAAAATATAATAAAATTCTTTTAAAAAATAAAAAGGTACTTTACCAGTGAACTACAGTTTTTAGTAGTCACTGTATTTCAAAGATTGCCATGACATGTTTTAGGACTCTTCCAATATTCTAGGAAGTTTCAAGATGCAATGCTCTGTTAAGGCACTTTTAGAAGTGCTCAAAAATCAGCCCCCTATTGTCCTTGGTAGCTTTGAACAAAAATATCCAATGCAATCCACAGATTGATCATGAATCACAGAATGGCATGGCTCCCTCTGCAAGAGGCACAGCACCAGCAGTGTTGATTGTTGGGATGGCAGCAGATAATCAAGACTTGTAACAATTGCTTCATGAGTAATAAAGGTAGCCCTCAAGTTATGATTAGTTACTTATTGACCATTCAAAGTTACGATGGTCCTTCCTGGGACTACTTATGACTTGGTTCTGAAGTTCTGATGGCCATCTTTCCAACATGATCACATGAATGCATTTCAGGTGCTTGCAACCGGCTCACATTTACAGCTATTTGTAGCATCCCATGATTATGTGACCATGTTTTACTCTGGTTTTACCAAAAAGTGGTATTTACTTCTACTTTTTGGCAAAATCAGCCCTTACCAAACCATTCATTTACTTTTTTTTTCCAGAGCTAAGAAAATAAATAAATTATAAAATTCAGTTAGTTATGTGAATGATCCAATTTATGACTATCATGACTTACAACCATGATGGGCAGGATCCATTATGTGAATACATCAAGGGTCAGCTGTATAGTCATGACAAAAGAATTCCAAGAGAGGCCTCAATGCTCTTCAATTTTTTTCTTTTAAATAACAATTCTGCAGCATATTCCAAATACCACTGGAATTAGTCATTTAGCAATGCATGAAACCTATTATTATTTATCTGGTCCATTTTAATATGATAGTAGTAGCCATCTGGAACAGCAACAAAAGTTCAGACCAATAAAGCTGCAAAGTCGTGTTCAACTTTTTTCAGAAGAAGTCTCCTCCAGGGCTTCCCTATTTACCCCTTCCCTTGTTCTTCTAGAATAGGGGTGTCAAACTCATGGCCCATGGCTGTCATGTGATGACATGTCATTGCGAGTTTGACACCCTGTTCTAGAAAATACATTGTTCCTAAATGCTTGCATTTCTAGAATATCTTACCTTTCTTAGCTTTCAACAGAAACATAAGTGAAGTTGTATGGCATATGCAGGTACAACCATACATTTTGGAATGTGCTCCAAACATATATTTAATATACTGCCAATTTGCAGGACAAATCTAGTATAAGTTAAGTGTGTGGAATCAGGGGGCACATATTTACAAATCACATAATGCTGTATAGTCATTTTAAGATCCTTTCTCTATATTCCCAGAGAGAATAAGACTTGAGATTTGAATAAGATTTGGGCAGTGTTAGTATACATATTACGGTAAACCATGATTCAATTAGTCATAGTTTACATATAAACATTGCACAAAATATTAAACTAAAACCAGTCAATAGCTTGCTCTGATTGACCTACTCCCTGATTAGTTTAGTAGCAATAGCAATAGCACTTAAGACTTATATACACTTAATAGTGCTTTATAGTCCTTTCAAAGCAGTTTACAGAGTCACCATATTGCCCCCAACAATCTGGGTCCTCATTTTACTGACCTTGGAAGATGGAAGGTGATTCAACCTTGAGTCGAACTGTGAATTAACCTGTAATACTGCATTCTAACCACTGTGCCACCACAGCTCTTTTGTGCTAGCAAAAATTAAGTAAATAATGGCTTAGTACATTGTGCTTTCTTATGGTTTGGTGAGCAATAAACCATAATCGCTGTCGTTCAGACCACATACCAAGCTAAAACCAAACAAACCACATATATGATGTGGAACCTAGCATGTATATTTTAATTGTGTTATAGCCATCTGGTTATTTAGACCTATTCAGAAAATATACATTTCAAAATGGAAAATTTAAATTAAATCCGTTTTTATTTTTGCCTATTTAATTCACCAGAATAAAGCTATTGATCTTGTTCACTTGGCAGTTTGGGTAAATTACCTTTGCTTCAGAGTTGATTCATACATGTTCATATATCACTAATGCAACATAATGAACAGAGCATTTTCACCACAATTATGATTCCTAACTTACAGTCTAAAAATGACTGATGAGCTCTTAGCGTATTGCAGTAATCTTTGGTATGGACACTAATGCAATGTAAGCTATTATTGTATTATATTACGTTAGGACACATGTGTCCAAAATATCACCAACTTCAACAAATTTTAGTTTTCCTAACCCAAACCTTGCAAGTTATAGATACATCACATAAGATTTAGTAATCTTATAAACTTTTGGTCATATTTTTTATATGTATATTTATATGCCTGCAAGCCAGTGACTCCTGAAAAGTCCATGTAGTTTTCTTGGCAAGATTTCAGAAGTGGTTTGCCATTGACTGTTTTCTAGGGCTGAGATAGAGTGACTGGCCCAAGGTCATACAGCTGGCATCATGCCTAAGGCAGGACTAGAACTAAATTGGTGTCACAGTTTCTATTCTATTTAATCATTACATCTTTGGCCATTTAATTGGTTTTAAAAAATAATTGAGGTTCAAAGCCTTATCCAAATAATTTCTCTGTGTGCAAATCCTTAATATACAGAAGTGTATCTGAGCTTTAGATATATCATATAGCACCCCAATTAAAGATATAGCTAAATACAATGCAGAAGGTCTATCTGAATGTGGGGACTGTTTTTATCCATCACATAATGATATCTGCACATCATCAGTTGATGCTGAACTCCATTGTGGAACAGTCATAACCTATCTATAGTAGTTTACAGCCTTCTTATGAAAACCTTTAAAAAAACACACAAGAAGTTGCACAAGACCAGAATACAAAGTGATTAACTGTACTGTGCTAGAGGTGTGTCTACATATGTTCTGCCAACCCAGACATATATCCTGATGCGTCTTCTCAGCTGAAAAAAAAAAGGAACTGGCATTCCTCTTGCCTCAAGGGAAACTTGGAATATGGAACTATACAGTCACAAATACTTCTAGTATGATAGTACACTGAATTATAGCGACAAAGATTCGAATCCCAGAAAGGTCTCTTCTATGGACCTACCCAATCCTATACAAAGAGAAATAAGAGACATGTAGCACTGTTTGTTCCCAAATGGATAATCTCCCCCCACCATCTCTACTTCCCAGTCCCTAGTACATAATTCAGAGAATGGTTACATGCCCTATCATGCTACAAAAGATTTTGCATTGGCATTCTTCTTGCAATGTAAAAAGAGGGGAGAGCGAAGGAAGGCAAATGCATGACTAAGCATTCCCCCCTTCACACTTAGCAACTAGGCTATTTCTCTTCTGCCTGGCTGCAAGCCCACCCTCTCTTCCATCTTAGTGTTGCTGCATCCTTGGCCCTGGGGTAGACTCCTTAGGGCCCTATAAGAACAGGCAACCTTCCATTCTTCTCCTGTCTATCTCTCTCCCCTCCTCCCTCAGGTACTATGTCTGCTTCCCACACTGGACTCCATCCAAGGATCTCCCTCCTGGGCCATAAATAGCTGTTTCGATCACCATGAACTCGGGCAGCCATCCAGTTCCCCAGGAGCTCCTTGCCACTGAGGGGCCCTTAATGGGGCCTGTAAAGAGCAAACATCCAGAAAATCATGGCTCCATGATGTAGCAACTCTACACTTAATAGATACCCCCAGGCCTGTACAAAGAAACCTAGGCTAATGCCAGGCATCAGGATTCCACCATTCCTCCTTAAGAAGGAAAATATGGACTAGGGGAGTAGAAGATCCATATTTCCAAATGGAAATGTTATCCTGTTTCTAGCTTAATAGATTAGGTTTTGGGCTCCTGATATTAAGAATTCTTCTTGGCTTCTTTGTCTCATTCATTCCCAATATGCTTTCCAAAATTGCTTCCTTTTTTCCTTCTTCTTCTTTTCATCTGGTTTGGCAGGACTCCAGGTTTTTGGCCACCAGCTCAACTTAGAGGCCAAAGACCAACAGGTGTAGTTTATGCAGCTTAGAATTGCTTTGCTAGACATTCCACACCTGTTGAACAGTTAAATGCAAAAGAAGCCCTACTAGGAATAAGTTTTCATATGCTAAGCCAAAGGACTCTGAGCAGCACCTTCAGAGTTGCACAAAACGCAAGATGTAGATTAAGTACTGTTTACATGTAAGCAATACATACTGTATCTATTTCCTCTAAATCATAGAAAGATGAGTAGAGAAGCTGATTACATTGGATCTTGGGTTGAATAGTTCATCCGCTATGGGTGAGGAGTCTTTGAAGCCTTCTGGATACTGTTTTCCATGATGCAGCCTAAGATGTGGGATACTGGGAATGTGGTTCAGCTTTGGGATCTTCAAAATTTCCCTTTCCTACCTAAAGGACCTACCTCTTGTTAATGTTAAAAGCACCATTTGACTTCATCTTTCTAGCCCAAATTTACAAAGGTATCAATTATTAGCATCCATTTAGGAATTAAGAATTTCAAATGTATGATTCATCCAAGCTGTAGCAAGCTACACATATACTTACTGACCAGTCCCCATTTTCTTGGTCCCGAATCTAGGTTTAGTGACAGCTCAGATCTGACCTTAATAAAATATGCTCTCATTTAAAAGTAAAATAGAAACAATTGAAACTATGTGACACTATGTAGAACACATGGAAGCACATGTGGACAGACTAAATCAGTTGCTGGTACAACCTTTCATCTTGGCTTATTCCCACCACCTTTTTCTTTGGCCAGTAAGGTATCAGCTCCTTACCTCACATCTTCAGGGGGCTGAAGGTCAGATCACGCCCTTCTGAAACATGGCTAGAGGCAACTCACCCTTGTATGAGAAGCATTCCCTTTATTTTCAGCACAAGACCAGGAAATGCTTGTGGGCCAACAAGATAACCAGTGCCAGAAAGTTTCCAGGTGCCTACAGGTTCCAGCATAAGGAGTGGCTCCCTGCCATGCCCCTTTGGCACATCCACATGAAGCCTCTAGCTGCAAAAACAGGCAGCACAACACACCCCAATCTGGCTCTTGGGAATAGGAACATTCTCTCATCTCCCCAACGTGCCTTACTCTCAACTAGGAATAAAAATCTTTGGACTTCATTCATAGATTCCCCATGGCATATCTAGCCTATGTGTACCCAGTGCTTTCCCAAGCTTCCTTTTTGTAACCCCTGCAAATAGAAAGAACCCAGTTTTACTCCCTAGTATTCGCCTGGCAAACAACCAGTTCCTGCTTCTGATTGCTCTTTTATAGCCCTCTCCCAGGAAATGCAGGGATCCCCAAATTTGCCTGCTTTAACTCAACTCATCTCTCAGAAATCTAGCACTAGATTCTGCTGTTTGTGTTTGTAGCTCTTGAATGGGCTGGGCTGGATTGTGTGTGGGGGGGGAAGAAACATCCCAAAGTGCTAAGGGACAAGCTTCCTCATTGGAGATCCATTCTATTTACCTAGTTAATAATTCTATTAACCATCATTTACGGGGCTGATCTGCTCCCAACCCTACCACTCTAAAGCCAATTCCTTTGGAAACTATCTGTCACACCTCCCACACATCTGGATTCCTGAACCTGTGAAACTCTTGGCTTCAGCGCAGGCTTCTAGCCATTAGCACTTAGAACTCTTGACAGCTTGGGTCTAGCGTCCAGCAGCATTTAGTTTACGCACTCACCTGCATTTAACCTCTTCTTCTGTGCGAGGCCCTTCTTCCCCAGAGACCCAGACAATCCAGCACACACATCCCCCCCCCTTTACTGCAATCCGATTAATCCTCCCATCCTTTTTCTCTCTCTCTCCCAGGAGGTAAGGATCTTGGGCCCTCCCACCTGATACCCTCCCTCCCAGTACCCTCAAGGAGAAAAGGTTCTCCGCTGCCCAAGCCAGCAGGCAATTTGGACCTTCAAGGTCTAGGTGGGGACAGGAAAGGCTGTCTCCCATCGGGACTGTTGTTTCTTCCCCCACCCCCACCCCTCACCCATCTGACATTTGAATTTGCCGATTAGGTCAATTGCACAGAGAATTGAAGAACCCAAGCAGGTTATTAATCCGAAGGAACTCTGGCTCGGGTGGGAAAGAGAAAGCCCCCCTCCCCCAATCAAGACTTAAGAGCGACGAGGAGGGAAATGCTAGCATTAATAACATAAGCATCGAGGCCGCCCCCTACAGCACAAGGCTGTTTTGACTTGGGCAGAGGCGGCGGAGGACTTTTATTTGTTTGTTTGTTTGCAGCCTGCTTTGGGAATGAAGGCTACCCAATTTGGGGTGGGTGTGGGGTTTGGAGCCGAAAGGTGGGGAGGTGGTTCTGTAATACAGAGCACGCTCTCCTCTTAAGGCTTAACGCACACCTTGCAACAGATTTCCCTTGCCTGGTTTTTCGGGGTGCTCGATCTGGGGAGAAACAAGCATACGAGGAAAAGAGGGGAGGGGGAAAGGAAAAAAAAAGAACAATAACATTTTCAGTTTAACAGCCCCTCCCCCACATTGTCTACCACCCCCTTGTTTCGGGATACCCTCTGTCCGTGCGTCGCTTCGTCTGTCTTGTCTGCGGTGGCTTGTCTGCCTGCGCTCCGCCACTGGTTTCTCCTTCCACCTTCACTTGCCTTTGACTCTCTGACTGCAAACACCACCTCCCCCCACCCCAGGGAGACCCCTCCCCCCGGATCCTCTCCCCTCCCCCTTCCAGCTCCGCCTCTGCCAATCCGGACTGCTAACAAGGAAAGGAAAAGGGGCGTGAGGGGAGGAAATCGGGGAGGAGAAGGAAAGGGGGGCGAAACGGGCAACCATATTTCTCCAGATCCTGGTAACAACGGGGAGCCCCACAAAGGCGACCTCACCCCACCTCCTCCATTTCATCCTTCATTTAGCCTCTCCCTCCCCAGCTAAATTCGGATTGACTACATTGCGGGATGCTAATATTTTTAGAACTGTCTGTTTTTGTAGCTGCAAAAACGAAATATGGCAAGTAGTGGTGAACCTGCGCCGCCTGGAGGTCGAAGGTCCCTCCCCATTTGTAAAGGGGGCGGAGGCGAGCAACATAAAACCGGTAATAATCCGGAGTAATATTAATAACAGCACACACACGCACAGCTGTTTCTGCTTTCTTTTAGCATAATCCTTGACGTACTAGGAGCTTCATATTTTTTTTTCCTACTGTAGCCTTCAGTCCAGCCACAAAAGCGCCTCGCTTGGTGCGGTAGGAAAGGCGGAGTCCTGTCAAGCGGCGGGTGTAGTTGGTGAGCCTTCTGCACAAATTAGCGATTATTTATTTATTTATTTATTTTTGTGAACTGCTTACAATATAATAGGTATAAATAAAAACATAGTTATGAATACATGGGTACATATAAGAAAAATAAAAGAAACAATAGGACAGGGACTAGGCACGTTGGTGCGCTCATGCACGCCCCCTACAGACCACTTAGGAAAGGGGTGAGGTCAATAGTAGACAGTCTAAGGTTAAAGTTTTGGGGGTTTGGGGAAGAAACCAGAGAGTCAGGTAGAGTATTCCAAACATTGACCACTCTGTTGCTGAAGTCGTATTTCCTGCAATCAAGTTTGGTGCGGTTTACCTTTAGTTTGTATCTATTGTTTGCTCTTGTGTTGATATGGTCGAAGCTGAAGTATTCATTGACAGGTAGGACATTGCAATATATAATTTTATATACTATACTTTGATCAGACCGAAGGCGCGTAGTTCTAGGTCTAGAAATTGGAGTCTGGTGGCATAAGGTATTCTGCAATGAGTAGAGGAGTGGAGAGCTCTTCTTGTGAAATATTACTGGACTTTCTCAACTGTGTTAATATCAGATACGTAATGTGGGTTCCAGACTGATGAGCTGTATTCAAGTATTGGTGTAGCAAATGTTTTGTATGCTCTAGTTAGTAGTGTAATATTACCAGAGAAAAAGCTATGTAAGATTAGGTTAACAACTCTTAACGCCTTTTTGGCTATGTAGTTACAGTGGGCTCTAGCATTTAGATCATTAGAGATGAGTACTCCAAGATCCTTGACAGAGTTTGGATCACCAGCAAGGTGTTGACTATTCAGCCTGTATTTTATTTTCTGATTTTTTTGCCAATATGTAAGACAGAGCATTTATCTGTTGAGATTTGAAGTTGCCATTTGTTTGACCATTCTGATACATAGTCAAGGTCTTTTTGAAGGGTAGCAAGTATTGTCTGTGGTGTTGACTAGCTTTACATCATCAGCGAAGAGAACACAGTTGCTCTTGATATGATCACAGAGGTCATTTATGTAGACTATGAAAAGAGTTGGTCCTAGAACACTGCCTTGGGGGACACCACTGTTGACAGGTACAGAATTTGATAGGACGTTCTCAATTTTGATCATTTGTTGTCTGTTTGACAGGAATGCTTCTATCCAGTTATGCAGGGGTCCAGAGATACCATAAGATTTTAGTTTTAGGAGTAGTTTGTCATGTACCACTGAATTAAAGGCTTTACAGAAGTCTATGTAGATTGTGTCTATTGCTTTGCCCTGATTGAGTTGTGTAGTCCATATGTTTTTGCAGTGTAAGAGTTGCAGATTACATGATAATTTTTTCCTGAAACCAAATTGTTTATTAGAGAGTAGGTTGTTTGTTTCTAAGTGGAGGATGATGGATTGGTTAATAATTGATTCCATGACTTTACAGGTGACACAGCATAGAGAGATTGATCTGTAATTTTCAACTAGGCTGGGCTCTCCCTTTTTGAAGATGCGGATGACCGTGGGTTGTGACCATAGTTTTGGCAAGGAGCTGGTCCTGAAAGATTTTTCAAAGATTATGCTTAGAGGTTTGGCTTTGGCAGTGGGTAGCTTTTTTAAGAAGTCAGCACCTATTCCGTCCGGTCCAATAGATAGGGATGGTTTTAAATTGCGTAGTGCTTTTTCAACATTGTCTTCTGTAAAATCAATATGTATTAGATCATTATAGTTGTCTGTGGTTCGACTTGGAAATACTGGGCATGATCCATTGCTGTTTACAAATACTGAGCCAAAGAATGTGTTAAACAGGTTGGCTTTAATAGTGTCATCATTGCAGACTTTACCATTAGGTCCTTTCAGCGGTGAGATGGACCTTGAGTCTTTTAGTTTGTTGTTTACAAAATTGTAAAAAGTGCGGGTGGAATTGGTGTGTAGAAGGTTTTCTTCTTATTTAATGTGATAATTGGTGCATTCAGTTTTTATCTGGTGGCAAAAAATTTTGTATTGGCTTTTGAAGTTGGCAACATGACCAGATTTGTTTTTCCACCAAAGTGATTTCTTTTTGGATTGAGCTTCCTTATTGTTACGGGTAATTTGTTTTTTCTGGTTTTGGGAGTTGTTAATGGTACATATAGTTCGATGACTCTTTTGACTTCAAGTAAAAATATGTTGTCATGGTCTTCTACAGTATTGCATCTAGAGAATAGAAATTGCCAATCAAGGGATGAGAGATCGTTGTTTATAACATCATAATTGCCTTTTTTGAAGTTATAATTGGGGATTCTGTCATTGTGATGATTTTTGTGTGGATGTATGTTGAGACAAAAGTGAATCATCTGTGGTCAATGTTGGAAAAGGTTTCTTTAGTTTGTATTCCATAAATTGAATTCAAACTATTGCAGAGGATGAGATTGAGGCAGTTAAGTCTAGTGTTGTTGGTTACTAGTTGTTCTAGTCTCCGATTTGTTACTGCATTGTAGAAGGTTACATGTGTAGGTTCAGTTGTACATTCATTAAGTTGTGAGGTAGATGGAAGTCACCAAGAATAATAAAAGTGTGTGGGCAGGATGCTGCCCATGTTAGTAGTGTATTTAGCTTGTTTGCATGTTCGATGTCATAATCAGGGGCTCTGTAACATAGTAAGAACCAAAATGTGATATTTAAAGACAGTTCGCAGACGATGGTCTTAGGGATAGCAAACTCCTGGGTGACTTGGATATTTTTTAGATGTAGGAACTTTTTATAGAAGATAGCAACACCACCTCCTCTATGGATTTCGCGATCTGATCAGTAAACATGATAGTCTCTTAATGTGGTAATGGAGTCAGGGAGAGATGCATTGAGCCATGTTTCACAGAGAAATATAATGTTGAATTTAGCCATATTTAGTAAGAGGAGAAATTCGGGTATTTTATTTTCAAGGCTTCTTGCACTGAGTAGCTTGCATTTAAGGCCAGTTGGAATAGAGGTAGTTAGGGGCATGCGTGCCTAGTTTTGAGTGATGTTGGATTGGATGGGGTGGGGTTGGATATGGAGTTGTGGGTTGTGTGACTTTCTTTTGATGCAATCAGCTCTATAGTCAATGTATAGGTCCTTTTTTCTCCATTGTCTAGATGGTTTTTGAGTTCTGCGTGGAGTTCACAGGAGCGGATTCTTTGCAGTATGGGTATATCTGGTCTTGTGCGAAGTTTTTTGTGGTTGGGATTGGCTAGGAAGCAAGCAATGTTTTTTTTCTTCTCTTTTTTTAAATAGAAAGCCCTGGATTATTATTTCCACTCTCCAGCATGCCACCAGTTCATTTCTGTTGACTGGGGAAATCAAAGGGAGGTTTTCCTGAAATTTCTCATAAATCTCCTTTTTGCTACCCTTCACTGGCTATAATGGCACTTTTCAGAGGTGGTTTGCTATTTCCTGCTTCCTAGGATTGGAAGAGTGTGGCTAGCTCAAGATACTCATTTGGTTCTATGCCTGAAGTGAGACTAGAACTCAGGTCTTATGTTTATTCCCACTGTTCCATTAAAATTAAGTTGAGCACCAGAGTGCCATCACAAATTTAATGTTAATGTATTGAGCAATTTATTATAAAGGGCTGTAAGTACAGGTAGTCCTTGAGCTGCAATAACAATGGAGCCCAAAATTTCTGTTGCTAAGTGAGATACCTTTATTTGCTAATAAAAGTTTTACAATCTTTCTTGCCACAGTTACTAAATGAATTACTGCAGTTAAGTTAGTAATATGGTTGTTAAGTGAATCTGGCTTCTCCATTGACCTTGCTTGTCAGAAGGCTGCAAAAGGTGATCACATGACCCTGGGACACTGCACCAATCATAAATATGAACCAGTTGCCAAACATCTGAATTTTGATCACATGATTATGGAGATACTGCAACAGTCAGAAGTGTGAAAAATGGTCATTTCATTTTTTTCATGGTCACTAAATGAACTGTTGTAAGTTGAAGACTACCTATATACTTCTGTTTTTTCAGACCTCTTTTATCCAAATTGCCAGGTAGATCTATGTTATCCCTGTTTTTTGGGAAGTGAGATCCAATTTAATTTGGATCCCTTTTCACTAATCTGGTTCCAAATTAGTCTGTCAAGAATGGAAGGTGCCATTTGCAGTTGTCAAACCCAGGCACCAGATCCAGATAGGAACATTTGCCTGTGATCTTTTCCAACTCTTGTCTTTTTCTTCTGGTTCAAGGAAGAATGACTTTTAGCATTTTTCAACCTTAGTCTGTTTGTTTTTCAAAGTATAGCAAGTACCAAGTTTGATGAACACTACAGTTTTATTACTGTGACAGCTGATCACTAGAATGAATGTTCTGAATACCATGCATAATTGGATGGACTGAAGAAGATTTTGTATGCTTGTATGTGTATGTTTTTGAACAAGTTTTAACTCCTGCTGATTGCCTGG